GCAAACTGTTGCGCAATCTTTTCAAAACTTCCAAGTAGAAAGCCTGGTTAACTGTCTGACCCTGCGGAACAAACTCTGAATGGACGACTCCTCTCACATCGAAAAAACAAATCAGCATTGTTTTCATGTTTGATTTCACCTGAAGAGCTTTCTTGGGGCAAGGCGAACTTGAAGTCTTCCACTGGCTCGATTGTTGCTTTGATTCAGGATCGTAAGCATAGCACCAGGTTTCGTCACCGGTGACAATTTTTGAAAAAAAGTTTTGATCATTTCGGGACTCTTCTTTCAAAGTACAGCATGCTACCATGCGACCTTGTTTTTGTTCAGCAGTCAGCAGTCGTGGCACGAATTTCGCAGCCACCCTTTTCATTCCCAAATCTTCTGTCAAAATAAGCTGAACTGAGCTCCAAGTCACTCCCGACAGCTCCACAATTTCTTCAATGGTCCGTCGTCGATCTTCCTTAATGATTTCACGAATTTTTTCAACATTTTCATGTGTTCGGGCCGTGGAAGGACAACCAGAACGAGGTTTGTCATCAATTGACATTTCACCATTTTTGAAACGGGAAACCCACTCAAACACTTGAGTTTTCCCCATAGCATCGTCCTTGTACACCGTTTCTAACATTACAAGAGTTTCTGTTCCACTTTTCCCGAGCAAAAAGCAGAATTTCACCGCCGCACGCTATTCAAGAAAATCAGCCATTGCAGAAACGACGATCACACAAAACAGCTGTCACTATAAACTCTGCCGAAACTAGTCCTTACTTTCTGAAGCAACGGTAGTCGGCTTATCGACTCAGGAATGTTAGCTCTATGCACTCATAGCGGCAAAACGCGGTACTACAAAAGCTCTGCCCACAAAAAAAATAGTTTAGTTTCTTTTGGGTACCCCATCGTATTTCTCATTCATTCAGTAGTATAATAACTTGTCTTAGATAATAAAAATCTCTTGAAAAACAGAACCTATTACAAATTTAAAGAGAAGAAGAAAAGTTACATCCCTCAACTAAACGATCCATAAATGGGGAGAAAAGAAAATACAGAACAAGTTCTTTTGCTGGTTCTAAAGTGATGGCCTTTAGGCTTTTAAGATTAGTGCATGAAAGAATGCTGTAAGGATTTATGGTTTAAACTTACAAGCTTAAAGACTTAGATTGGTTAAATGCCTAGATAAGCATTCCAAATGCTGCAGATGACATAATAACTATGCATAACACAAAATTAATTTTGGAAAGACACAAGGATTATCAGCATACACTACCTTCACTGTAAAATTTACAAAGCCTTTACATAATATATCTTTGACACAGAGAAGCTTTCTGATAAGCAGTAGCATCATCATTGGGTATATCATTACTCCTATAATGTGTTACTTTACCACATTATTATCCATTTGCAATTTCATAACTTAATTTCTTTAATGTGTGACAAAAAGTCTTACTTAGAGCTGCAGCTTGTAAGAAACAGGCTGCCAATAAAAGGAGCTGTACTGTCCATACTGAAGAATCCATGTTGGTACTGCTACCTGCAACACAGATGACAATAAAAATTGAATACAAATCACCATATACATAGTGTCACGACATTATTAACTGCCATTATGTCCAAAAACATAAGAAATCATACATTCTGAGTCACCACTTATATGATCGGTGATGATCTAATTTACCCTGAATTTCCCCCTAAGGCTAATGGACTTGACAACACCCACTAAAATAGCACGCTGTTGATATTACACAAACGTCTTTCGTATGACTGTTGGGTTTAGTTCAATCTGCATCATTTGAAAAAACACCTTAACTACTATGGCGTGTCTTTTATAAACTAGATAACATACGAATATAACAAGTGCTACTAAAATACTAGAGTACGCAGGCTTGTTCAGTCCATTGCCGCTAGTCGGGTGTAGTCCAATCGATCAACTGGACGTGATACTGCACCAAACGAAATAAGCACAGACATAGTTGCTGTTAGATATGTTACGATAAAAACTTGTTTCGCACTTATATTACAATATTAGAGAATATGTTATCCGGATTTTGTCATTCACGCACAATATTTACCTAACGCATTTCATTAGCCACTCACAAACATAACTCCACCATTCATCACGTGATAACTACATCATTCAATACAATGTGATTGAAATTTGGGTGTTGGTTGAAAGTGGTATGCAATCTCTATCCATTAAGCAAACGCAGATTTCCATTAAATAATATTTAATTTATATTTAAAAAAATATTAAAACTATAATTCAATTGAACTTACTGCGAATCTGCGTTCAGATTCGCAAAGAGGTATAGAATTGACTTTCATCGTAAGAGCGACATCACCAAATTTCCGAATTCGAATTTGTTTTATGCAACGGTGGTCTAAAACGTATGATGTTTGTTTTCCCATACTGGCGCAATGTAAATCTGACATAAATTAAAAATCATCCAAGTGTACACATATTTTTAATAACTGCATTTTGAATTAGCGCTTTGTACGTACTATGTGCACATATTCTTAATGGCTAACCTGACTTCTGCTTTGTTCTCATTCAATACCTAACAAGGTAGTACAGTACTAAAGTATGCCTGACACTGTTGTTAATTATTCATAACATCGACATCCTTTGTTCTTCCTTCATCACAAAGACGTGACTATAACATAAACAACCGACGAACTCGAAATCATCGAATACTCGAGCGCTACAGTAGATGAAACGTCGAGACCGGTCGAGACCTAATTGGCGTTAACTGCTCCATCTTTCCAGCACCACGATTATTTTCTCAGTCAGTTACCAGCGTTAGTATATGTTTGGTTATGTTTTCATAACCTTATTTTACTGCCAGAATTTCTAACCATGAATGGTGTATGGAAAGTCTGCATGAAAAATAACTTCGTTTTAAAATTGTTTACGCAAGTGTCACCGCAAGCTGTGTATTTATGTGCGAGGTACAAAAACTTGCTAAACAGAAATGTGGTGAGCGGATTTTGCACACAAGATTTCTGTGTCAGTTTTGATGATCCTGCAGTTCAGAAATATCTTGGAAAACTTATGATGGAATTTAAGACACTTCAAACAGAGGACGATCGGTATGAGGGCAACAAGAGAAGAAAACTGCTTGAAATACAGCCAGTAATTAACTTACTTGAGGAAAGGAAAGCAGTTATTGAAAATTTAGCTTGTTTAAAAGAATTAACATCAGGTTAGGATCCATATATAAAATGCTAAGACGTGGTATGTCTTTTACATGTGTGTTTGTTTGGGGTGGGCATAACGGTTAGGATGCAATTGTAGCAAGTGCAGTTTCATATCGGGTGTGAAAAAAATAAATGACACAAGACAACGTGTTTGAGATTGAAAATGACGTCTATTGAATTCAAGCCAGATATGTTACAGTAGAGTATTAAGAAAAGCTGAATGTAATATGTTGTTTTTTATCGTACGGGTGCCCTACCCAGTGGGTACTGGGGGCTCCCTCTCTGATAATAAGGTGGCCAGAGTGTGAGGCTGACCCATTTTCATTGTTTAGCACCGAGGTCTAGCATGCATGCAGCTTTACCTCCAAAAAAGTAAAGCTATCCATGTAAGAGGCCTTGAAGATCCATAGGGTTGTGAGACAAGGGTCCCACGTTATGTAGACAGTCAGCTCAAAGATGGCGATAAGGTTGTCAGCCTTACGCACCAGCCGCGCTTTACTCCCCAGGAAAATTATTTAATTAATTCCTGGTACTCATTTCTGTTAGAGGCTGAGTCGACCCCAGGGCCATAGTGCGGCCGGAAGGATTAGGTCAATTGAAAAAAATCCAATCACCTCATCAGTAAATAAACATGAATGACCATGTCCACAGTTTCAGGAGAGTGTCTATTACATAACTACGTTTACTTTGAGGTTTTGCAATGTTTGACATATTGTCTCAAAACAATTCTGGATTGTAGTATCTCATTGTGTTAGTTCAATTCATTACACTTATCCATCTTCTGTAGACAGCATGCCATTGATATTATTTGGTTGTGTAATTATTTATTTATTGTGAGATAACAGTTCAACTTTCAACTTTATTTTTGCCCATAACTGAAGTGAATACAATTAGACATGTCAAAAATAACAGCAAATACATGACATGTTAAAGTAACATAAAAATTACACAATGATCAGTCATAATAATATAACAAACGTTATAAGGTACATAATAATAAAAAATGCATAAGACCAAAAGAATAATATCAGTAATATAAAACACATGAACACAGTATTAAAATTTGCAAACCAAAAGACAATCAACAAACTGGTCATCAATTCAGCATTAGTTGAAATCTCTTGAAGAGAATATGAAGTGCTGCACAGCAAATGTTTTTTGAGATTCCTCTTAAAAACATTAAAATTCTGCAACACTTTTCAATTCAAGGGGAAGACCATAATCGGTATTATGCACAAGAAACTAAACTGTTGGTCAATAACACATGTTTCAACCATTGTATGGTAATCTTCAGGTGGTTAAGTGGCTAAGTATAATCAGCCTCGACATGATTTTATCATTTCAGATGTGTCTAAAGACAAAGAATTTCAATCTGCTGCTAATGAGGAACAGGAGATGTATCAAGAAAAAATAAAGGAGCTGGAAAACATGGTTTGTGAGTTAATTAACATGTTAGAATTTACTACATGGTGTTCAATTAAGGAGGAAACTTAGTAACACCGTTGACTGGGCCCAATACTCCTCACAGATTCCTACTGTAATTGTAACGGCGCACATTTATCAGCACTAATAACTCGTTCTGCTATCAGCAGTTACAGCAGCAATCTGTGAGGAATGTTGGGCCGGGTCAGCGGTGTTGCGAAGTTTCCTCCTTAACTGAACGCACTGTATTTCAAAGAGCAGCTGTAGAATCAAATTCACGTCACAAGACTATGATGACATTTACCTCAAATCTACATCTTATTTACACAAATGAAGGCTGTAATGCTCTGGAAAGAAAACCTGTATTAACTTATTAAAAGAATACTGTATAATTATTACTGCCAATGAAGAACAGAGTTCCCAGGAACATTCTCACTGAGACAGAAATGGAATTGTATATTGCTGCTACACTCAGAATATGAGACTAACAGTGTGAAAAATGTGGTTTATAGCTATATGATGCCTTTTTCTGTAGCAGGAGCTTCCAGTTCTGTTCTCAACAAAGGAAAAACTTCTAAGCCATAAGCAATGGGACTCAGCATATGTGCACTAATCATAAGATTACCTATTCCTTGGCTGTATGGGCCTCTAAGAACCTTGGCCTACTTTACAACACATGCACATTCTTCTTGTCTTATACCTCCACTTCTTCACATTTGGCTCCCATAAATCATTCTTTACGTCCAGCATATGTGCACTAATCATAAGATAACCTATTCCTTGGCTCTATGGGCCTCAAAGAACCTTGGCCTACTTTACAACACATGCACATTCTTCTTGTCTTATACCTCCACTTCTTCACATTTGGCTCCCATAAATCATTCTTTACGTCTGGCCATCGCAGTCTGGGATAACTCATTGTACTTATAACCTTTCCTTAGCCATTTTATTAAATTTTCCTACCAGCATGCCTCATTAGGTTTATTAATATATATTGTATTACAAGGTAAAGTTATTTTCCTTGTGCCCAACCCCCAACATTCAGGACTGGGGGCTACCTTTCATCTACCCTTCACCATGTCTGTCACAAGTGACTACTAGGAGCTTACAACCCACTAGCGTATCTCTCCACATGATGGGTACACATGGGAAGGAACGTTACTGTACCATTAATTTTTTTCAGTTTTGTAGTCAGCGCCCATAATTCGTATTAAAGATTTTTGGCATTTAAATCTTGGCTGTCTACTCTTATTCACTGAGACTTTTCAAATTTCCTCTTAGGCCCTCCTGTAAATGCTTGTACTATGTGTAAGATGATTTTCTTCCATGTTGTTCCTAGCTCATTTAAGAAACGATTTCACTGCATTAAACATATATCATGGTAACACGGGATTTATGCTGTCACAAACTCTCTATATTATTGCCTATCCTTTTCTTGTTATCTGTTATAAGCTGAAAAGAATTCAAAGTCTGTTTTTGTTCCTGTTTTCATATTATGCTGAGAGTAGTTAATGCAACATACACAGACTCTTATTTACTTTATTTCTTTCTCTGGTTAAATGTTCTTTTTATCAATTTAATGCATTATAGCTATTTGCAAGTTTCAGGTGTGATCTGTTGTGGTGTGAATGCATTTAGAAGCTATATCTTAAATCATGTATAATTCATGAATAATAATAAATTAAATTTTTATATTCTAGCTCCTGTCAGCTCTTGTGCCACAAGATGACGAAGACAGATTTAGTGACATTATGTTGGAAGTGTCTGCAGGTGTTGGGGGACAGGAGGCCATGCTTTTTGCCAAAGAGTTATTCGATATGTATTACAATTACATAACATACAAAGACTGGGACATGCAGACTGCTGATCTAGAAGTTTCAGAGTTAGGTTTGTTGAAACTTAAACAGTAAACTTCTGGGCTATAAGGCCCTGCAGTACACTGAGAGTCAACTAATGTTTTGAAGGAACATATCACCTCCATCTTCATGGCTGAAGAATGAGCCAAGCAAGAAACCAGTGTGAAGCAGAGCATTTGCAACCTGCTTCATGCTAGTTTCTTGCTTGGCTCATTCTTCAAGCCTGAAGATGGAGGCGACATGTCCCTCAAAAACGCTGGCAGACTTTCAGCGAAGAAGATGGAAGAAGATAGAACTGTGAGAACCTCAGATCTAAAAATGTACTGCTGCTTCTGCTTACTGCCACTGAACTAACCCAGTGGAGTAGAGACCTCCTTGAGAGACTAGTAGTTGCTTAGCTAGTCAGGAAATTCTTTCATGAACCTGAAGGTTAACTATCATACAAAAACGTCCCACTCTTCCCTATTCTGAGCCAAATGAATACAGGTCACATTATGAAGTATCTCAGAATACTAGTCGCTGGGCTGAGGTTTTGAACTGAGGACCTTTTGTATAAAAAGCAGGAGTGCTACCCAAACAAGTTTCATCAAGTAAGTTGTGATGGGCTGGACATATAAGTTAGATGAGGAAACAAGAAGTGTATGCACAGATTTCATGGGGAAGTCTTTTGGATGTTCAGATACTGAGAAGGATGTTTTGGACAATATTAAAATAGACCTCAGAGAGGAATGTTATGAGAGTATAATCTTGCTTGGAGTTTGGTTCAGTGACTGGTTTTAATATTAGTGGTTTTGAATCTTCAGGCTGTATTGTCACAGAGATAGATGCGTACTTGTTCCTAATGACATATTTATTTAATCAGGTGGTCTGCGGCATGCAAGTTTGCTTGTGTCAGGGAAAGATGCTTACCGGTATCTGAAATATGAGGCGGGGGTCCATAGGGTGCAGAGGGTGCCAGCAACTGAGAAATCTGGTCGAATTCATACCAGCACAGTATCTGTTGCGGTCCTGCCCCAGCCAGAAGAGGTACTGACTGACCACAAAGCAGTCCTTTTGTATGGTTACTCCATTGTCCTTTGGTTTTGTGCCCATTTGAAAGTGCTCACACTTGCTCATGGACAGATTTTCATGGAATTCACTGAAATGTGCTCGGTATTAAAAATTATGACTGAGTTTATGTTGCAGTAACATAGTTTTCCCTCAAGACTCTCTTTTAAAATGTTTCCATCTGTTCTTTTATAATGTGTATGCAGATATGGAGCTGTAACAAGAATTATATCCCAGAAAGTAGAACTCTTGATAACCACCGCTGTGAGAACCTGAAATCCTGCAAGGGGCTGTATATTCTGAATTGACTCTTCTACCTTACTATCAATATTGCGTTCATGTGTTTTCACACCCAAGGCTCTGATGAGAGTGGTACAACAACAGCACCTTGCTCGGAGAAAATTCAGTTGTTGTCATCCTTCTCCTAACCTCTTTCATATTCTGTTCTATTCAGAACAAAGGACAGAGTCTCCTCTCCATGTCTGCCACATCTTTCCCCCCTTCTTGATGTCCAGCCCTACCAAACCATCTCATAACCGATAAACCACACCATATCTCAGGTGGTTAGTCACTGGCTTCCCACCACAGCAGCCCGGGTTTGCGCCTGGGTCTGGTCATGTGGGATTTGTGGTGGGTCAGATTTTCTCTGAGTACTTCAGTTTCCCCTGTCAATGTTCATTCCACCAATCGCTCCACAGTCACCATCATTTGTCATCTGGGGCTGGTACAATAGGCTAGTAGTGGCTGCGGTACTCAGTCTCACCCCACTAAGAATGTTGTTGTTGTTGTTGTTATTGTTGTTATGAGTGATCCCAGAGGTTTCTTTCCTTTGAGATTTAATTATAATGCATGTGTTGTTTGTACTTATTCTAGTTCTTCTCTTTACATGTCCAAACCATTGTAATGATTTCTGTTTGAACCATCACTTAATGACTGACAATATAATTATTACTCGTATTATTCTGTGTTGGTGTTTAGTGAAATTTCCAAGTTCTTATTTAGAATTGTTTTGTGATGTATGATGCAGTGACTCTTATGAATAAGAAATGTAGATAGACTTGAAAGGATTCTGACGATGATGTATACTGTACCTCTTTTGGCTTGTTTTGGACTTCATCCATCATCTGGTATGTAAAAGACAAAAGACCAGTGATTGAGACTGGCTCTTCCTAATGGGCCCAACTGAGTAGGTCTATCCTTCCCTACCCACCTGAAGACGGAGACAGATCCAGTCTCCGAAACATCGTGGTGTTTTGCCTTTTACATACCAGACGATGGATGAAGTCCAAAACAAGCCAAAAGAAGTACCATAACAAATGTAGTTGATTATAAATGTACCATTCAGTCAGAAGGGACTTAAATTGTATACTGTAGTTTATAGCTCAGGTATTTCTGTACTGTAGTTTCTGAGCTTTACATTTCATACTAGCAGTTTCTTTGTAGGTTGATATTGTTCTACATGACAAGGACCTGAATGTAGAGACAAAACGAGCAAGTGGAGCAGGTGGTCAACATGTCAACAAAACTGAGAGTGCAGTGAGAATAACACACCTGCCAACAGGTCGGAGCTGAGTCTTACAAGATGGTGAAGCTAACTTCATTCCTGTTTGGGAGATGCCCAGACTGTATTAGTTCTGTCTATAAACAGTAATGCATCAACTTATCTCAGAAACGAGATTACATTCAGATTCAACAAAGCTGAGACAGAGTGCACCTGAATTATTTTTCAATTGGTTATTTAATGACACTATCAGTATGAAGACTATATAGTATTGAAGTAGGCATGGCATTTTCCTGGAAGGGCTGAGGAAAACCACAAATAACCTCAGTCAAAATAGTGTCCCAGCCAAAATTCAAATCAACTAGAGCCAGAAGTATATGAAAATGAACTTCCTTCACTATCTCATCCCTAGAGAAATTCAAATATTCATACCATAGTTGCTGTATAATCTGTAAAGACCAGGTGTGTAACGGCGCTGAGCACAAGTAGCTCGTAGAGATGTAAGAGTCTGTCACACGGAGTGACTGATGTGTCACTGCAGATTGCAGTGTCCGCAGTGTTCTAGAGCTCATCTTCAGCTTTTCTTTTGTTTCCCATTGAGTCACTTCAGCAGACAGCAAGACAAGGCATGTGTCCTATTTCAGGTACAAAGAACAAGTCCTGTATTCACTACTGAATTCAGATATCAATTAATCAGTGTCAAATAATGTAAAAAAAGAAAAAAAAGATAAAGCTATCCCCCTAACAGGCTGTAAAGGCCCATAGGGTTGTGAAATGTCGAGGCTTCCACATTTTCTAGATAGTCAGCTCATAGATAGCGGTAAGGTTGTCAGTCTTATATGCTGGCCGGCCTTTATCCACCAGGAATATTCCTGGTACCCATTTCTGTTAGACGCTGAGTTGACCCAAGGGCCTTAGTATGGCTGGAAGGGTTGGGTCAATTGAAAAATCCAATGACCACATCGGGATTCTAACCCATGACCTTCTGGCATGTAGCATAGTACCTCAACCAACTATGCTACCACATGCCCCCCATCAGTGTCAAATAAACCAAACAACAAAATATCAGTAAAGCATATGTAAATTTTGGACTGTGAGAATATGAAGGTGATCCTAGTTTATTTATATTGTAAGAGCATTAGACATTAAGTTGTGTATTTCACAAGGTTCTTTCTTCCTGGAGTCAGACATTTGTTGACTGTTTCAGGGGGTAGAAATGGAAAACGCATGAGAATTTTAATTAATTAAGTACTGTACCATGAAGATGTATGGGGGATGGAGTTCTAGTCCCATTATTCTTAACCTTGTCACTTTATCAGGGTGACTGTTGAACTCTGTGTCCAGGCCACTTTACCACCAGGCAAGGAGCTCCATTGTATAAGAGGCTGGGTGGGCTCCAGGGCTGGCCTGGATACTGCGGAGCAGAGAAAAATTTCTTACTTCTGCCAGGAATTGAATCCCAGCTGTCGTTATACTGACTGAGCTATCCTGAATATATAGACATTAATTTCTACGTACAACACTTATTTTCTCCTTTGTGTAAAGCTGAGAAATTGTGATATATATGTACATGCAGATTACAAAAATGTTCAGTCAGTCACAATTTTCTTTGGAAAACTACAGCTCTTATTTCTTTGAAGAAAAAAATGAAAATCATAATCTGTCATACAGCGAGAGCAGCAAGTGTGTAGCCAAATGTCACTGACCTGTTTGTTATGACACTGTCATATCATGCACTGATTGATGTCATAGCCAACCAGCTATCTCACTTTGTTGCACGTTAAGTTTGCATCCTTTCCCTTGAAAATGCTGAGTGGCAAAATGTTTAAGTTCAGAATAAAAATGTTCTTAATGATGATGACAGTGTAAATACATATCCAACAAAGTAAAACTATGTTTCCTTGTATCTGTTATCCTTTTTATTTCTATAGGATTAAGCGTGGAGTGCCAAGTGGACAGATCGCAGATTAAGAACCGACAGATTGCCATGCAGACCCTCAAAGCTCGCATCTATCAACGGCAGCTGGAGGCACAGGATGCTGCAACACAGGCAGCAAGAAAGCAACAGGTCTTTTTTATTCTCTGCCACACTTGTTGATTATTTATAAGAATTGCTGTTGCCTACACACCACCCGTTACAATGTATATCTGTCCTAATAGCATTTTGGTAGTTAAAGAAAACGAAGAAGATTGATGAATAATATTAAGATGAATCTTTTGGAGTTAGTGAAAATGTGAATTGCCTGAAATGACTCAGAGTATGGTCCAGTTGTGTGATTTGGAGCAAGTAGTGTTAGGATACTGATGTTTGTTTAGTTATTTTTCTGGTCAGAGCGCTTGATTTTATGAAATATAGACATTCAAGATCCATTTAAGTTCAATCAAGACCTTCATAACCTATTTATTTTGAAGATCCATTTCAGTATCATGACATCTGAATCCAGGCCTAGCAGTGACCACTTCCTTTGCAGTTTCCCAATCAAGGCTCCATTTAATCTTATTTTCCCCATTTGCACCTGGATGTTCTAATGTTTCTTTGCTGATTTTTTTATGCATTGTCTAAGTAGGCCATGGATGATGACTACTTTTCTTTTCATTAAATATCAACATGAAATTTCTGACAACTTATATTATTTCTGTATGCCTTTGTGCATAATTTTTAATTGCATACATGTGGAATGTTTTACATATATTAGATCTGTTTGATTTTAATACCCTGTAAAGGTATTCATCTTTATATGCTGTGTACTACATCTGTATGATGCAGTGTGTGACAAAAAGGGAACCAGTCCTCAGAAAACCCACCACATTTACCAGTCTGTGAGTCAAAAAATGTTAGGAACAACTGTTCTAAAGGCACTTCAATACTTCCATGTCAAAATTTTGTATTGTGTTATTTTCTTTTATCTATATTATTGTAGGTGGGATCCAGTATGCGTTCTGAGAAGATCCGGACGTACAATTTTAATCAGGATCGTATCACTGATCACCGTTTGAACGTCAACGTCTACAACTTGAGCAAATTCCTAGTGGATGGAAAGCAGCTGGATTGCCTAGTAGATAAACTGCAAGTGATGACAAATAGAGACAAGTTGATGAGAGTGCTTTCTAGAGCACAAACTGAATGACTCTTTGAGTTTGAGTTTCTGGTACACGGTGCCTCATTTCAATGCTGTGGTTTTTTTGTAGCGCACCTCATCAATCATCAACAACATCAAACATCACAGGCTTGGAGCAGATTTTTGCCATTGTCTTTAAATTACTTGTTATTTGTCTTTGTAGTTAAAACGTTTTTGCCTTCTTTGTTATAGGCATATTAATTCAAGTGTACTGAAATTGTATTGAACACTGTCCTCTATTGGAGGTGCATATATGTAACATTTTTCAAGGATGAAACTTTTCAGTTATTTCTTTTTGTGTACAAAAATTTTGTTTGCACAGTATTGACATATAATAAATATTTTATGAATGTACTCTGGGTGACATTTCTATGGCAACCAGAATTTACCCTTTCTGAGGAAAAATCATATTGTTTTGTTGGCATGATTTTCAGTATGGATACATTGAATCACAAATATGTACATGTTGGTATATCTGTGTATTTATGGCAATGAGGCAATCACTGTGAGATACCATCAGAGTCTTCAGATGTGTTGTGTATTGTAGATTCTGTATGATACTATATTGTATATAATTTATGTTGTTTCAAAACGTTGAGAAAAATAAAATAAATACAGCTTTGCCTGTCATGGGGCTGGACTGTGCTGCTACCTAGTGGCACACATGAAACCTATTACATTCATTACAGCTGTTCTAGTTCCACTTGTGACCTATTTACCGACTCTTCCTCATATATACATATGTGTGTAGAATATAATTAGCCATTTAATTATATTTCATGTACAGGTTTTCATGACAAATTTAACATATTTAATTCTTTAATCTGATGATCTGAAAATAGTAATTCTGCATAAATATGTGTTTTATAGTATTTTTATTTTGTGGTTTCAAGATCCTAATGTTAATGTATAACTCAAGTTTCTCGCTAGGATTGTGGGCTCGAATCCCACTAAAGTCATGGATATCTATGTGCTTTTATTCTGTGTTTGTGTTGTTCTGTGCTTATTGTTTATGCAGCGGCCTTGCAACATGTTGATCCCCCATCCAGGGAGTCCTGCCGACTGTGTACAGGATTAAGAAACTGAGAAAGTGACCAAGGTCTAACAAAAGGCTTGTAGAGACATATATATGTATACGGTGTTTGATTAGATTGTAATGAAAAGGAAATATTTGTTTTCTGTCTCAGTAAGTTATGTATCAGAGGTCGACTCTAACCCTGACCTTTCGTTGGTCATGATATCTGCTGCCGGTACAAGAAGGTGAAGTTGTCCTTGTGCTTAATTAGTTAAGCAGGAAGCCATGAAGACACATGGGGAAGTGGAGGTATAGCTCCACCATTCTTTACCTCAGCGCTATATTGAGTGGCCACCTTTACGTCCCTACCCTCGTGGGGGAAAGAGTGACCATATCCATTGGATAGGAGGCTGGGTGGGTCTCAAAGTCAGTCTGGACGCTGTGGATTAGAGAAACCCTGTACTGCTGGGAATCAAGCCCCGGCCGTCCTAGTAGGAAGAATGAATGAGACCAATATGATGAGTTAGGATACACTGCAGGAATACATACTTCTAAATTACTGGTTTTACGAAACTTTAAATCGATGCTGAAAATAGCATTTCACACCTTCAAGACCACGAACCTTTAGATACTTTTTTTTTTAATTGTTTCATTTTGGTCCGTTACACTATCAATCACAAAGTTAATAGAGAGTCCGTCGAGTGTAACAGTTTGTAGGTCACTTTTTATTATTATTTCTGCCTTACATGTTTCGGTTTGACACAACCATCATCACAGGCACTTGCTATAATTATGGAAACACTGTCGCTGTTTTTGATGTTCACAATTATGTTTGTCGTGTGGACGCTGCTACGATATGTTTACGTGTAAAAGCACAAAACATGCTAAGATAGTTGAGTACACTCTCAAGTTCTCACTTTTCATCCGAACTTGTTTTTAAGTTAAAACGCTAAAATGTTAAAATATTTGATATAAAATGCTGAACTCCTCCTTGTTAATTCATCCCGAAGATGGGAGATGTCAGCTTGAAGTTGTATGGCTTATGGTTTGATATGTTCCTGTGTGCTGCGTACTGCAGTACACAGCATTTTATATCAAATATTTTAACATTTTAGCGTTTTAACTTAAAAACAGGTTCGGATGAAAAGTGAGAACTTGAGAGTGTACTCAACTATCTTAGCATGTTTTATGCTTTTACACGTCAACATATCGTAGCAGCGTCCACACGACAAACATAATTGTGAACATCAAAAACAGCGACAGTGTTTCCATAATTATAGCAAGTGCCTCTGATGATGGTTGTGTCAAACCGAAACATGTAAGGCAGAAATAATAATAAAAAGTGACCTACAAACTGTTACACTCGACGGACTCTCTATTAACTTTAGATACTTTTTTTTAATTTGCGGGGCCTTTCGTGAAAAGTTAATAGTTAATGAGCATGTTAAGTAATTCCTGTTCCTGTTGATCCAAATGGTCCATTACCATGGTTACGAGAGTCCATCAGTAGATAATCTCTTTACCCAGTTCAATCCAGTCGACAACTTCACACCCTATTTCTCTAATATCAGTTTTATTACTATCCTCTCATCTACTCCTAGGTCATGTACGTGGACTTTTATTTGAGATCTTTCAACTAATAGCTTTATTTTTACGCATAATTCATCACCCCATGGGTACTACATGTCCCGCCCAGCTTATCCACTTTGATATTATGATTTTAAAAATATTAATTTATATATTACCTAAAGACTGATAGAATGTAAGGCTGAAGACTTGCATTCGGGAAGTATATGGTTCCAATTCCCACTGGTCCACCGGCTACCATAAGGCTTTTCGCAGTGTTCCTCAGTCTGTCCATGCAAATTTCAGAACAGTGCCCAAAATAGGACTCGTCAACTTCTTTCCACTTCAACTATCGTCATAACATTCGATGGTATATATATACCCTTGCTCCCACTTTGGAGCATAAGGCTAATTTCTCAGTTTCATGATCATTTTTACAGATGGTTGAACTCCTGGACGGGTGATCGGCTCGTCGCAGGGCCCCTACCTAAACACGGGACCAACACAAACACAGAATAAATGCATACACACCAAACATCCATGCCTTTTGTGGTATTCGAACCCACGATCCCGGATTCCAGGCGAGAGAAGACAGTACATGTCTTAGACCGTTCAGCTACCGTGACCGGCCAACGGTATATAGTTTCTAGTATTAAAGGCATTGTAAAAATTAGTCCAAATAGTATTGCTCCTGTCGGTCACGGTAGCCGAGCGGTCTACGGCATGTACTGTCTTCGCCCGCTTGGAAACCGGGATCGTGGGTTCGAATCCCACTCAGGGTATGGATGTTTAGTTTGTGTGTGCGCGTTTTTCTGTGTCTGTGTACAGGTAGAGGCCTTGCGACGAGCTGATCACCCGCCTAAGGAGTCCTACCGAATGTGTAAGATCAAGAAAAACCGAAGTGAACGGAGAAGTTCATGGAGGTAGGCCTAGGCCCACTGGGGCTGTAGTGCCAAGGGAAAAAAAAGTATTGCTCCTAATTGCTACTAGTCATTAGAGACATTAATATGAGACCAAACAGCAACGCGCAAGGTAAGCGGCTTCACGAGGGCTGCAGTTTCATAGACCAAATAGCAACGCGCAAGGTAAGCGGCTTCACGAGGGCTGCAGTTTCATAGACCAAATAGCAACGCGCAAGGTAAGCGGCTTCACGAGGGCTGCAGTTTCATAGACCAAATAGCAACGCGCAAGGTAAGCGGCTTCACGAGGGCTGCAGTTTCATAGACCAAATAGCAACGCGCAAGGTAAGCGGCTTCACGAGGGCTGCAGTTTCATAGACCAAATAGCAACGCGCAAGGTAAGCGGCTTCACGAGGGCTGCAGTTTCATAGACCAAATAGCAACGCGCAAGGTAAGCGGCTTCACGAGGGCTGCAGTTTCATAGACCAAATAGCAACGCGCAAGGTAAGTGGCTTCACGAGGGCTGCAGTTTCATAGACCAAATAGCAACGCGCAAGGTAAGTGGCTTCACGAGGGCTGCAGTTTCATAGACCTTCGCGGTAAGAACCACACGACGCCCCTTGGAAGGAAGGCCATGTCCTTATAGTAAACATCCATCAGGCGTGTTTGTCGTAACAAATGAGTGTGTTCTAAAACTCGGAAAGTTTTGTTGAGTGGTGGCTTTTATTGGCTGCTTAGTGGTTGGCTAACTTTTTGAATGTGTGTGCTGGCAGTTTGGAGTGAAGAGGCGGGAGGGAGGGCGCTGGAAGTAGCTAAAAGGTTTCCTTCCACAACAAGGGGAAACTTTCGTTAACTAATTGTAGCGATTCTGTTGTCTATACATCCGTTCAAGCAGCCAAATGAATGTGGGCCAACTTGGGGAATCCCCTCCACCAATGGACGGACACACAACTCGATTCTACTCTCTGCACTAGGCGTATTCGCTGTCGCATCTGTGTATAGAAAAAGGTCAAGCTATCCCTGTAACAGGCCGTGGAAGCCCATAGGTTGTGAGACGTCGAGGTTCCCGCATCTTCTTATAAAATCGGCTCACAGATGACGGTGAAGTTGTCAGCCTTAAGCTCCGGCCACCCTTTACCCTCAGAAGATTCCTGATACTCATTTTTGTTAGAGGCTGAGTCGACACCAGGGCCACAGTGCGGCTGGAAGGATTTTTATTTCTCTGGCGCCACAGCCCCAATTTGGACCTTGGCCTACCTCAATGAAACCCTCCGTCTCACTTCCGTTTACTAGATCTTAGACATTCGGTAGGACTCCTTGGACGGGTGATCAGTTCGTCTCAAGGCCTCTACCTGTACACAAACACAGAAAAACGCGCGCGCACAAACACACATTAAACATCAATGCCCTGGGTTGGACTCGAACCCACGATCCCGGATTTCGAGCGAGCGAAGACAGTTCATACCTTAGACCGCTTGGCTACCGTGACTGACATGCTGGAAGGATCAGGTCAACTGAAAAGTATAATGAGCCCATAGAAAATCGAACCTGCTACCTTCCAGCTTGCAGCATAGTGCCCCACATTCGTATATACCTTATTACTGCGAATATAAGAAGCATTCAGTAACTGAATGTGGATTTCAACCCCCCCCCCAAAAAAAAAGGAAGGAAGAAAGAAAGAAAAAAAGGTGCGCATTCCTCGAATTTAAGATGCACCTCAATTTTTCAAAAGGGGAAAAATATGTAAAATATGCTTCCTATATTTTCTCGGGGAATATTAAACGTAAATCTGTCTGCATCTTTACTAGGCTGTAGCCTGGAAAATTTGGAGTTCGATTCTCGACAGGGGTCCAGACCGACTCTGGGGTTCACCCAACCTCCTATCCAAATGGTACCGGGGGCTCCTTCCCAGGAAGTATAACTGCAGGTTCGTGCAAGTGACCAGCCAGCTCCAACTAGTGCCGAATTCTAAAATTTGTGGAGCCATAACCCGTGCGTCTCATGGCGTGTTGCTTAACCAAGTTCAAAGAAAGCTTTACTTACTACTACTACTACTACTACTACTAGGTAGTAGTAGTAGTAGTAGTAGTAGTAGTAGTAGTAGTAGTAGAAGATGGGATCGATGGTGTTTGAGGACAGGGTGTTGAGAATATT